CCCAAAACCCCTTGAAGAGAATTAAGCATTGAATTTACAAAAAATAAGTTAAAATTATAAATAAGCAACATTAATATATTACTATGGCAGCAACTGTCAATAAACAGTTTTCAAGCATCAAATAGCAGCAAAAACGTCTTAAGTAATAACTCTAAAGAGATCAATCTGATTTGGAAATGCAGAGTACAAAACAATAGTCAAACACCCTTAGCAATAACTTCAACCCCATATTCTAAACATCCCAATCATAGGTCAGCGGTAGCTCTCTCATCAAACTATATTATCAGTAGAATAATTATAATCAAGCAATGGCAAATTAGTAGCAAATGAAGAGGGGCAATTCCGCCTCTTAATAGAAAAGATACCTTAACTAAAATAGCAACAGCTCTTAGTCAGCAAACAACATAATCTTTAAAACGTCTTTTAATCATTAGAAGAAGGAGAGTAACTCTCTTCGTCAGATTACTAAAGAACAGTTAGCAGCCACTACTTAAACTATTTAACAGCAGATGCTTTCAAGTATCAATGCAAATAGTCAACCAAATCTGCATAAAAGTGGCAGCAGAGCTTTCTTAAAGTCAACCATAGAAAATCTTAAGAAATCTAATTAGCTGATTCATTACTAATAAAAAATGCCATAAGAATATAAAAACGTAAAACTAAGTAAAAATCTAGAATAGCAGATAAATAATAAACTCGATAGATAAAATAGTCAAATGCTCTTATAGCAGCATTAGGTGAAATCCTAAAACAATTTGCTCTAGTAATTCAATATAAACAAAGACAAAAACTAAGTTCATAGTAATGTAGTTGTTGGCATTAATAATGCAAAGCTAAATAATTTCGTTTTTGACTATGATTAGTAATCAGCTTAACAGCAATCGAATAACAATATAGTAATGTATAGTCACGAAGGTTTTAACATAAAAAATACTAATACCAATTCTTAAAGTACTAGCACAAATAATAAAAATTCTAGACAAGGAGGTAGGAATCAATTGATAAATATGAGTGGAAATACCCAGAACTAGAGTTCTGGGGGCTTGACTCGTTGCTTTTCAAGCTCATCTAAGAATTTCCATAATTAAAATACTTCCAATCAGGGTCATGAATCCCTGCTTTAACACGTATAATAACAGTAATTTCAGCAACAGTAACAGTATTAATAGTAATAACAGCAATAACCTTAATAATAGTTTTCGCTCACAAGAGTTTAAAGCAAAGCTAAATTTGAAATAGAAAGGGCTCCTAATCAGTAAATGCTTCAAATACAATCAATGAAAGTGCTTCATCCTTAGGATTAGTATTACTTCTAGAAAGAAGATTAAGAGTAAAAGAGAACTTTGCCTAGAGAGCAATCTTCAGGAAGTCTTTCAAGATAAAAATCCCAGGCAAAACTCTAAACTTTTCAATAGATCTAACACCTATAATAGTAATAGCAACTAAACACTATTTCGATGGAACATGGAGGATAGTAATCAATGCAGAGAGAACCATCACAGTCATCAATATTACATTCTTCATAAAATCAAATAGGAAATATCAGTAAACATTAAAAGAACCCTGCTATAGCCTTAGTTAATTGCTATTCGATGGCTACAATGATGTAATCTGCCAGTGGCCTTAATCTAATAAATATAAAAACCCATATGAATGCTGGTGCTAATAAAGATTGCATATCACCAGTGAGGAAGGCACTCGATTAATCTGATAATCATTAGAATGGTGGTGATCAGCAGCAAAGCAGAAAATTACAGAGGACTGGACCTGTAAAGATTCCTCGTAAAGAAAATGATATCATAGAATAGTAATCCTAACCGATTTAATCTATGACCATTCATAAAGAAAACATAAATTTCTCTAATAATGAATTGGAAACCTCTTTAAGCAAGTAAACCCGCATGAGTAAAAAGATTGCCATTTAGAAATTAGTTAACTTCGACAAGGTTAGAGATTTGCTGCGAAAAAGCTCTTAGGAAAGAAGATAAGAAAATGCAAAGCAAGTTAAGGAGAATACAGATGAAGTGCTAACTCGCACGGCTTCTGTGATGAACTTCAAATAAAAGTAGCTGCTAGATATATTCAACGAAACTGATAGTCGATTGACTCCAATTCTTAAAGAAGGAGATAAAACGATTGATGAAACATATGATGAGATTTAGGGACTACTGTAGAGTATGGAAAGTAGATAATGAATAGCAACTGTAAAAGTTATAACTCATTTAAAGATCTTTGATATATCAATTCTTAATTACTGATTTTGACAATGCATTTCTACTTCATGGGGTTTTGGGGTTTTGGGGTTTTGGGGTTTTGGGGCTCGGAAATCAAGAAACT